CCGCCCCGGCCATCCTCTTACCCCCCAGGCCAAGTCTGGGCCCTCCCACTACCAGTAGTCGTAAGTATCATCCCAGTTGTCAAAGTGCACCAGGAAGCGGCTGTCCACCACGTCAGTCACACTGGCCACGCAGACGAGGGACGGGTTCATGCGGTCGACGGCCTCCAGTTTCATGCCCACCTGGAAGCCCAGGGGTGGGGGACTCTGGGGGCAAGAAAAGGGGCTGCCATGGCCAGAGCCAGGCAGACTAGTGCTAGCCCGAAGCCCACTGGCAAGGGAAGGGGGGGCGTTCTTTCGGAGTCATACTGGGCGTTGGGGGCTGGTGGGGGGAGAAATAGGCAGGATCATGACCCCCATCCCCGAGTCACTCAGGAACTTCTGGCCTCCGCGGTGCACCCAGAGGAAGCCTCACTGTGCAGGAAGACGCGCGGCTGGCAGGAGGCTACACCTTTACCCAGAGTGTGCCAGGCTGACAGCAGCGTCCCCAACCTACACAATAGCGGTCATCGTCCCCACTTTAAAAGTTAAATAACTTGCCCAGGACCACAATGCTCGTCAATGGTGGAACCAGGATTTAAAGTTTGACTTAAAAGTCTGCATCCCCTGTCACAATAGTAAGTAGAACCCCACCAAGTCACTTGGGAACCTGCGAGTATGGTCTCTGGGGGCTGGACATGGGGGTCAGGAGTAACTGAACAGCATGGTGGAGTCCCTGGCCCATGGGACCCTACACTTTCAATGGTGATATTTTTAATGGGGGTCCCCTATATCTCTCAGACCTTTCGCTTGGTTGCGGTTAGGAGATACTTGAACTGTTGGATAAAGCTGCCAGCTGCCTTGAATGGGGAAAAAGACAAGGGGTGGGTTGTTGGGACTGAGTGGGAGAGCCTCGATGTTGGGCAAAAGAAAGGAAAAAGCAGCTCCCAGGAGAGATAGAGGCTAGGACCTTACACGAAGAACTGCAGAGCAAACCAAAGCAAGAGACAAGAATGAAGACATCTGAGAGAGAGCCCAGGCTGAGCTGGGGGGCCAGAGGCTGCGAGGGGACGTGTGGAGGGCAGGAATTCTGTAGAGGGAGCCAAGGGAGACCCTATGGCCGCCTCCCCCTCTGGCCTTGGCCTGCCCAGTGTGCCCTCCCATTTGGTATGAGACTGGAAGAGAGCTGAGAGCACTGGTAGATGAGCTCTCCTCTGATGAGTCTGATACCCTGGACGGGCTGCAGCTACTGTCCCTGGGGGCGGGTGTCCACTCTGGCTCTGGGGACTCACGTGGCTCTGGTTCACAAATAGGTGCTTGGGAGCAGCCTGAGCTCTTGTGCTGCGCAGGTACTGGCTCCAGCTGAACTCCTCTTCCTTGTAACCTAGGCCCCTCGGCAGGGGGATGAACAGAGCGCCATGCAGACAGAGGCTGGGCTGCAGCATGGGCACCCCACAATGAAGCAGCAGATTGGGCAGGCCTGAGGACCCCACAACCCTCAGGAACCTGCCCAGGGACCCCCTGACAAAGCAGGACATGACCTGGGTGGACACTCAAAGGTCAAGGGCAAATCAGAAGCCCTGGGGCCAAGTCATAAGAGGAAGTGATGAAGAGAGGCTCACTGTGCATTGGGGAAAGTAAGGGGGGACCAGGGGAAAGAAGCGATGCGTCTGAGGGCCACTGCCTCACTGTGACCAACCCAGCTAGGCCTTACCTTTCGGGGGCTGCAGCTTGTGTCCAGTCTTCTCGAACCAGCCAGCGGGGTGAATGTCAGGGGAGTTGGCATTGATCCAGAAGTCATGGCACTCGGAATACCCGTCAAAGTGCAGACGTAGGCGGTAGCCACACACCTGGCCTCAAGAGGGGGAATCACAGGGGCTCCGATGCCAGCAGACACCCACTTCCATTCCCTCACCTTTCCTGCCCAGCCTGGGGCTCTGATGCTAGCAGGTTCCCCACCTCTCTTCGCTCCCAGGTTAACCCCCATCCTGAACCTTGTCCCACACTCCCTTATCCTATGAGGAGGACAGTTCATGTACTCGTTCTGGGTATAAGACAGACATTCTGTGACACCCTCCTGCCCTTCTGAGACCTAGACAGAACCCCGAGGACACCTACCAGGGCTCAGGCCTGCCCAGGGCCCCGATGGCCTTTTCTTCTGTACCTTCTCTCGCTGCTCCCCACTTGCACACTCTGCTCTGGCCTCACTGCACTAATTAACGGCAGCTCCTTGAACATGGTGGCCCGTTCCAAGCCCCAGAGCCTCTGCTCACTTGGCAGCTTCTGCCTGGAACACCCTACTCACTCACGACTCATCTCTCAAGACTCAGCAATGGAGGCCCATCCTCTGGGAAGCTTCTCCTGCCCTCCCAGTGTCTCTCTGTTCACGCCTGTCCCACACCTGTGGTATGTCGCTGATGATGTTTACCTGGCTGATTCCCACACAGTTATGAGCTCCTAGAGGACAAGGACCTTGGACTCATGACAACATCCCTGCCCTTGTGACCTCCTCCTCAAGTTACCCCGGAACTGAAGTACGCTCCCGTTCAGTACCATCACCACCCCTCACACTTCATCTGGTTTTTGTTCATTGTTTGGCTTTTGGTGTGTTCTACCTGAATCCCCTATTAGACTGCGTGCTTTCTGAGCGCAGGGCAGTGTCTCCTTCATCTGAGCACAGGCCCTCCATGTCCCTGGCAGGCTCCATCAAGCTATTCTGATAGACATCACTGGAACAGTGGTGCAAACCTCAGCTCACCTCGGCCACGGTGAGGATGAAGTACATGGATGGGTGCTGAGGGTCGATGCCTTCCAACTTCATGCCCAGTCTGAAGCCATTCTTGTGATGAGTGACTGCCTGGTACTGTCAACGCACAGATTGGACAGGACCCAGCTTCCATCCAGCCTTATCCTTGCCTGGTGGGCTTGGGGTGAAGGAGCTGCCTTTAGGCCCCACCCGCCTGGTACTACCAAAGGGATAACTTAATTGGGGGTCTTAGTGCAGGGATCCAGAGGGAGCTAGAAGAGCTCCCAGATCCTTGAAAATTGTGGGCTGAGTCAGGGCTGGACTTAGGGGGTCCCTCTCGCCCAAGTCATTGAAAGGTCAGCATACACAATTGAGTAGAAGGCACCAGAATTCAAAAATCTGCAGGCCCAGGAGTGGGTGAGCCTGGGTTCCACCTCCGTATTTTTTCCCACCCTCGAAGCCCCTTAGGGTGGGCCCTTTTCTACTCTGAGTCCCTAACCGATCTCTCCCCTTTCCATTCTGACCATCCTTTAAGGGATATCAGACACAGAAAACACCAGAAGGCCTGAGTTTGGCGGTGAGTCCCTCAACTGGGAATACAAGCACTTCCTAGGTGGAAATTGTCCCACTCACGTCCTGGAAGAGGCTGACCGGGGCAGTGATGGCCTTCTGTTCCTCCAGGTAGGACTCCCACGACCAGCCTTCCTTCTTTTCCCCTGACACTGTGGGCAGGAGACAGACAGGCTGACATGGGAAAGTGGCGATGGCAATAGAGAAGGCCCGAGGGCCTGAGCTGACGATGAGGAGCTTTGTTCCATTTTCCTTAGAACCAAAAGGATCAGAACGGGGGCCCAAAAAGCAAAATCAGGCTAGTGACCAGTACAGGCTTGCTCACATCACAAAGGGAAGCACTGTCACGTGACGTCGTTAAACTCGCTCAAGTCTTTGGATACTTAGCCTGGCAGTAAAGCCTACTCGCAACTGAATAGACGATAAGCAAACACATGATATAACCCCCAAGAATACACATATATTAATGCACAAACCAGAACCATTGCCTTCCTCTCATTCTCTCTCTCACACACACACACACACACACACTACACCATGCTTATTTTTATATATATGCACAACACACCATCCCAACCAAAACCTACCCTCCCAGCCTCACACCTCGAATGTGTATACATACGTCACATGAATATGTATGTATACACGGGCCACCGTACCAGGCTGGCTGCTGCTCCACTCCTCGCTTTCTGGGGTGCTAGCAGTGGGTTGTCCCTCGGGATCCTTTCCTTCTTCTTGCCTCTCCTGTGGAAGGAAAGCCTGATTCCTGTCCTCATGGGTAGGTGAGAAGCCCCACTCTCTATTCCTGGCCCCTGCCTGGCTCTCTGGCCACAAGGTGTCTTGCCCCAAACAGGCAGAATGTCTTCTAGGCCACCAGCAGGAACACAGCTCCAGTGGACAACCCCCTACCACTTGGGACACAGACTCACATAAGCTACACAACCTGACTACAATGCCCATCCTTCCCAGGTGGAGAAACAGGACACAAACACTAAAGGATGGGACACCCCCCCCCCAAATTATGATTGCGTTATTGTCTTCTCTGGCCCAGCCCCAAGACCTGCATTGATGGAGGGAAGAGTAGGAATTGAGGTACAGCCTCTAGCCCCCCCCTTTCCTCCCCACAGCCCTCTTCCTACCATGGTGTCTGGCTCTGACTCCTCTGAGGGGCTCCGGTATTCCCTGTGCTTCCTCTTCTTCATGGGTTTGAGAAGCTCAGAAGTGCGGGTGCAGGAGTTCTGGCCTGAGGCGTTCTCCACTATGACTGACCTGAGGGGGCGGGGGCAGCCTGAAGGAAAGAACCACCCACCATCCCACCCAGCCCCTCTCCTAAGCCAGGAACAGGAATGGGGCTTTGGGACCCAAAAGCAGAGCAAGTAGAGTGGTAAACCCTACCCCTTACCGTTCCTGGTACAGTTGGAGGCAGCCGCCATTGGCGGAACCAGGATCCGGACCAGAGCTTTGCTGAGGCTCACATGCCTGGCACTGACAGTTGCCATCATCCTCTGGGGGGTCCTGAGGGGGATATTCTGGAGGGCCTTGGGGGAGGTCCGCTGTGGGGACCAAAGGGGCCTCAGGCCACCCACCCCATCCCAGCCACACCCAGGCTCCGCCCACATCGGAGCCCTTGCCCCCTAAGGCCCTGCCTCCACCCTGGTCCCACCTCCTCTGGCTTCTCTACTGGACAGGCTGCCCCCCCCCACACACACACCACAGCCTTCTCCACCTCGGGACCAACCCTTGGGTGCACGTGCAGGTACCGGGGCACGCCCCCTTTGGTCCAGTCCCGGATGGAGGCTCCTCGGGGAGCTCAGGCCTAGCTCCAGCCACGAAGGGGCCCAGCTCGGGGCCTGGGGCTCCTACCCGGCTGCTGCGTGCTGGCATCACCATCTCCCGCTGGGGCCTCGCTAGCTTCGTATTCCGCCACGCCTTCCTGCCGCAGCTCGGGGCTCGGGGGCTGCTCCGCTCCCACCATGTTCAGTGGCGCATACTCGCTAATTCGGAACTGGAGCGCAGGAAGGTATGAGGATGGCGACTCGGGTATCGGCCCTTAACCCACCTCCAGTCCGCACGGGACCCCTCCCGCCGCCTTATGCAAGCCACGCCCTGGCCGCCCGCAAGACTCCGCCCCTCGGTGCCCCAAACCACGCCCCCAGACACCTGCAGGCCTTGGTCCCAGGGGGCCTCACTGCAAGCCACGCCCCTAAGGCTCTGTGCTAGAGCGCCCTTTTGCAAGCCACGTCCCCAGAGTCCCTCACTCAAAGCCCCACCCACTGAATCCTGCACCTCGGCCAGCCTCCTCCACCTTCAGCCTCAGGCCCCGCCCCCAGCCCTCAGGCCCCGCCCCACAGCTGCGGCTCTCTAGGCCCCGCCAATCCCTAGAGACACTGACCCGCAGGCCGCTCCCAGGAGGCGGGGCTGCGGCCTCCGTCCACTCCAGAAGCCGCACTGTGCTGGCGCTAGAGCTGGCCACCGGCCCCGCGCTTAACTGCGGCAGAACGGTGGCCGTGACAGGTATGCTGGCGGTCACTCGCTCAGAGACGCCCACATGGATGGGCTCCCGCGGAAAGCAGGACACATCCAGGGCACTGCTGGGCAGGCCAAGGGTGGCCGAGGTGGCTGCGAACAGATACACGGACACAACACAGGTGAGCCTGGTGGCTCTGCCCCAATCCTGCCATGCATGTGTGTAGACAGGTGAAAAGCGTCATCTCCTCCCCAGGTTCCACACCTGCCTGGGCAGGTGTGGGGATGCTCCTCCTCCCCAGGCCCCTGGCTTGACCTACCTGGAATGATGAACGCCGTGGTGGGCAGGTGAGGGCTGGAACCCGGGCTGTCTCTGGCCACCAGGTGCACGCTGACCTCCCCTGTGGAGGGTCCCTTCAGTGTCCTGAGCATCTCCATTTCTGCGTGCCCCTCCATCCTGAAAGGCCTACAAGAGGAACACGGCCCCCCAGGGTGATCAGGGAGGAAGGGGGCTTCTTGGAGGAGGAGCTGCCCACCCTCAGAGAAAAGCCTCAGCCCTGAGGGGAGTGGGATGGATTAGGAGCCTCGCTACCCTGTTTCCCCAAAAATAAAACCTAACTGGAAAATATGCCCTGGCATGATTTTTCAGGATGCCTGTAATGTAAGCCCTACCCCAAATAGAAGCCCCAGTTAAGATTGTCAGCCAGACATGACTGCTTGAATGATTTTGTACATTTATTCATGTACAAAAATTCATGATTTTTGTACATGAATAAATGAATGAACAAATGTAGGTTGTTAGAGCAAAAATTAATATAAGACCTGGTCTTATTTTCAGGGAAACACAGTAGCATCAACTCTGGCTACTGGCTGTAATCAGGTCACTCAGGTGAGGGCTTGGGCCAGACCCTACACTTCTCCCAGTCTTGTAAGATGGGCGTGTGTGAGGGTGCTTTGTAAACGGTGAGGTACAGAACTGACTCTGTGGAGTATGCCTCAGGCCAAGGTTCTGTCTGGCCATCTGTCTTCATGACATAGCCCATGCACGTCCTAACTTCCCTCTTTCTCAATCCCACCTCCATCACCACTGTTATCACTCCCTTCTCCCCGTGGGGACCCAGAGCCCTCAAGCACCAGGTTCTCAAACCTCACTGGTATTCGTTCTTTTCTGTCCCCTATCCACCACTCCCTCCCCAAGCACAGTGGGCACTCAAACATCTGTTGAACAAATGCATGATTCTGAAGAGCAAAGAAGTAGTGTCTGAGAACCCAGGGAGTGCATGATTTTGCTTTAATAAAGCAAGGGCGATACTGGCATTTAATAAAGAGGCGGTTGAACAGGTAAATATAGGGGGAAGAAAGACCTATCAAATATACTTAATATACTTAAATATCTATCATCACCTAACTGCTAAAATGTGTGGGCCACTGTCCTAGATGCCTTACCAGCACTGTCCAGTAGAATTTTCTGTGATGACGGAAATGTCCTGTACCTGCACTGTCCAACACAGTAGCCACTAGCCACATGTGGTTACTGAGCACTTGAAAAGTGGCTAGTGTGACTTAAGGAATGGAATTTTTTATCTTATTTAATTTGAATTAATTTAAATAGCCACAATGGCTATAGTTATGTGTTGGATAACACAACTTTATATGCATTACAATTGCTTGTTGCCGCTACCTCCAAAACACATCTCAAACCCTGAGCACTTCTCTCCATCTCCATCGCCACCATGCTCGTCCCAACCACCATCAGCTCTCCCTGGACTTCAGAAATTGCCTCCTAACCCATCTCCCTTCTTCCTCTCCTGCCCCCTACAGTGTATTTTCCAGTAAGAGAAAGCTTTAAAAATGTAAACTAGGTCACATCATTTCCCGATCCAAAATTCTTCACTGCTTCTCCACTGCCCTTAGAATAAAGTTGAAGTGCTTTACCCTATAGACTATAACCCATCTTCCTCTCTGACCTCATCCTCCACCCTCTTCCCCATGTTCTCCATCCTCGACAGACTCTAGTTTCCTTCTATTGCTTGACACGTGTTCCCACCTCAGAGCCTTTGCCCTTGCTGTTCCCTCCGCCAGGAATGCTGTTCCCCAAGCTCTCTGCTTGGCTATCTCCTTCCCATCCTCTAGGCCCTTAGCTCAGTGGTCACCTCCTCAGAAGAAGTCTTTCCTGACCACTCAATTCAAAGCAGTATACCTCTGACCCTTTCTCACTACTGCTTAGCTTATTACTGTGTTTATTTCCTTTACATCCTTCATTATAATCAATAATGATCTTCATTTATTTATTTGGGTTTGATCAGTCATCCCTACATAAATGTAAGTTCCATGAGGGCAGAGAAGTTATCTGTCTTGTTCACTGCTATATCCCCAGCACTTATAATGGTGCTGGGCACACAGTAGGTGCTCAATCAATTTGTGTTGGATTTCAGTAATTTCAATTTGTTAATAAAAAGCACTGTATTGATACTTGGTTGCTTTACACTGTTAGCAGTACTTGACAATGGCTTCTGGCATACAGGTTAAAGGAGAGAACGTGGGCCTAGGCTTAAGGCAGAGTTGAGAGTGTGAATCTCCACTCCACCACTTAATACCTGTGACTGAGTAAATAGCTTCCCCTCTTAGAGCTCTGATTCCTCATGTGTAAAATGAACCTGGTAATGGTATCTACCTCAAAGGGCTTTGATGAAGATTAAATGAAAAAATAAGTGAAATCTTGATACCAGCAGGCATTCAACAAATACCAATCCACTCCATTTTAACAGAAATTCCAGGGAAATTCCAGGGAGGTTGGTAGTAAGCTGCTTGCCTGCAAAATCAGTTTGCAATCGTTGCTGTGTCTCCCTCCTGCTGTTCTTGTGCATCCATTTATTTTCCAGCTTTTCCTCCCTAAAATACAGAGTCCATCCTCCATATCATATATAATCAGGTAAGCAAAGGTGAGATATGTAACCTGATTAATTAAGAAACATTCAAACCAAGGTTTGTTTCCCCCTTTTCTTTTAAATTGTAAAATAGAATTCGCTGAATTTCAATTCCAAGTATTTTGCTTTGCACAGCTGACATACTTGTACCATTTTAAGTTCTTTTCAATAGAATCAATTGTTTTATTCAAAACATTGGCAGTCATTAAGAGCGAATGTGGTTACTCCTGAAAGAATTCCATTCTGTTTCAAAACATGTCACATGTTTCAGGTCTATCAAGGAAGAGTGATGAGAGGACTACCCTTCTGTTCCGGTTGGCTGCCTTTTCTTCAACACACACTGGAGGATCAACTAGGTGACAGCACCATTCTGTGCTCTGGGAATAAACACAGTTTCAAATAAGACAAAATGTCCTCGTGAAGCTTATATCCTAGAAATAAGGAATAAGGTTACAGCCGGAGATATACATTTGACAACCATCATGTGTCGATGGCATTGAAAAACCTTAGGATCAAGAGAATCTAGAAAAAGGTGGGGACCTTGGAGCTCATCAAGATTTATAGGTTGTGAAGTGGAAGAGCTAGCAAAAGAGACTTAGAAGGAGCCTGCAATGAGGTAAGAGGGCACACAGGGAAGTCTGGGCTTCTGGAGGACTTGTGAGGTAAATGTTCACAAAGTGGGAGTGTTCAACGTGTTAAATGCCACTGACAGATCAAGTTGGAAGAGGGCTGAGAGCTGACCACGTGAGCAACAAGGTAATCAGAAACCCTGATGAGAGCCATTTCAGAAGAGCTGTGGACACAAAAACCTGATCCGAGTGGGCTCTAAAGAGAAATCATCCATCAGTTCAACATTTACTGAGCACCTACTATGTGCCAAGCACTGTTCCAGGCAATGCAGATTTGTCAGTGAACAAAACAAACACCCCTGCCACAGAGTCTACATTCTAGTGGGGCAGCTGACAAAAAGGATTGGTACTGTAGGTGAATGGGAGAAAAACAAACTGGAAACAATGCGTTTAACAACCCTTTCAAGGAGCTGGAATGTGAAGGAGAGCATGGAAATGGAGGTTGGTATTTGGAGAGGGATGTGGTCTTTTTTTGTTTGTTTTGTCTTTTTAAAATAGGAAATGTTACAGCATGTTTGTGGCTGATGAAAATGAACCTATAAAGAGGAAGACACTGAGTGCAGGAGAAAAAGAGTAATTCTAGATATAAAGCCATATTGAGACTGGCTATGGAAGTTTCATATAGGTTCTAGTATGTATGATATACTTCACAATAAAACACGTTTAGAAAAAAAATAATAATTCTAGAATACAAGGCCTTGAATGTGCAGGAGGGGAGAGGATCTAGTGCACCTGTGATGTTGGAACTCCTAGCTAGCAGCACCTACTGTTTCTCTTCTTTCTCCCCAACCAGATATTAGCTTTTCTGAGGCTGAAACCACTTTCTCTATGATTTGAATTCACCTCTCCTTTACCACTACCACCTTATATTTGCAGCTCACACAGCATTTTCATAAGCATTGTCTCACTAGGTCCACACAGCAGCACATGTCTCATATGGCTCCCAGGTCTTAGCCGGCCAGGTACACACCTTCAGAACCCCACTTCTGTGGTGGCTTCTGCACATGCTGTTCCTTCTGCTTGGAACCTTTCCACATCCCCTATTTCTGGAAACTCCCTAATCATCCTTCAAGATCCAGCTTAAGTGACACCTCTTCTCTGAAGCCTTCCCAGAATCCACCCCCCCCCCAAAGTTAATCACTCCCTCTTCTGTGCTCCACTCCACCACAATCTAGCTATGCATCGACTTCTCTTTCCCTCCTCTCCCCTCCAAGAGACAGAACAAAGCACCTGATGTGCAAAGAGCCTGATCCAGAAATTGCACTCCACCAATAGCCACTGAATGAATGAATCAGAGCTAGGAATAAAGACTGGTCAATCATATAAGAAACAAATGGTACTGAAATCCACAAATGGCTTAGCCATTCTTGCCTTAGGGGCTAGCATACTACTTCCTCCTTCAGTGCAGCTCAGGGGCTGGAGGAGGGGATAAAGTGGGAGGTCCCAGCCACTGTGAAGGCTGTCACTGGTAGCCCTCAACTGTCAGCTTCTCTCCGAATTGCCCTCAGCCAGGGGAGCTGCCTCGCCCAAGTGCCCTCTCCTGGAAGCAAGCTACCCGTTGACAAGTTGATACCGGGTATAAAGGCCCCGCCCCCTTGCCTCAATTTGGGACACCTCTGCAAAGCCATCTCAGTTCCAGAGCTTCGTTTGGGACAAGTTGAGGCCTCTGTGGAGACTACAACGGCAGTTTCAACTTCTTCCTCTGCCCAACCACCCTACTGTCCTCACTCCTCTACGGGTAATATTCCCAAGGGCACCCCAATAAACCTACACTCAAACCTCCCTTTCAGAGTCTGTTTCCAGGGAACCCGACGGAAAACATTGGATCCCCAGCCCAGAGCGATGTCTGGCACATAGCAGATGCTCAATAAATATTTACTGAATGAATCTGCCGGGGTTATTTTCTCTTGGTCTGTCGGCTAAGGGTTCCCCCCACCCTCTGTCCTTCAAGGTCTCGTATACAACAGACGCTCAATAAATGCCCTCGCTCTAGGTGGTGGGGTGGGGAGTTAGCGCCCCTAGATAGATACCCCCTACGCAGCCGGGACGCCCCAGGGAGTGGAAGCGGGTGCCAGGGTCGCGATCGCCTCCTGCCTTCCAAGTCCTCCCGAGACTAGCAGACAGCGGCGGGCGGGGGCGGCCACCGATCCTTCAGTCCTACAGAACGATTACTTTTTAAAACTCCAAAATGGCGGAATTCTTTTTATTCTTTCCCTTTATGGCACAAATCATCATCATCATCAACACCCAATTTTCCGATATAAAAACAGGCAATGAGCGGAAGGGAAGAGAAAGTTTGCCAAACGACCCATTTCCTAAGAAAACCCAAACCCCGCCCTCTACTACACCCTTCCTTCCATTAATGAAAAACTCTTTAATTGATGGCATGTCTCTAAAAACGAAGCCGCCTCCCTCCCAGCCTCCAAATCGCGGCCCGCAGTGGCACGGCCGACGCGCCCGCCTCGCCCTCGAACCCCGCACCCACCCGGCCCTCCGCCCAGACCCCCTTCCACTCCCGCTCTCCCGAACCTCCACCCCAGCCCGCGCCCCCCGCCGGAGGCGCTCGGAAGGAGCCTCGAACCCAGGCCGCAGACCCGAGCCCTCGCCGTGCGGGGCGCGGGCGGGGGGCGTAGCAGTCCCGCACTCCCGAGTCCGACCCCACCGCCCGCGGATTCCCTACCTGACAGGCCAGCCTGTGGCCGCCCAGCGCGGAGCTACGGTAGGAGCCCCGGCACCGCACGCGCCTGCGCGCGCTGGGGGGGCGGGCCCGCCTCCCTGCAGAACGCCGGGCGCGGACAGCGCTCCGCGCAGGTTTGGGGGGCGCCGGCCCGCGGGTGCTGCGGCGCCCAAGCCCTCTTGCTTTCCTGCGAGTCTTGGCCGCGTGGGCCTAATATCCCCTCCCCCTGGGGCCAGAATGATTCTGGCTGCCTCCCACCCCCTGCATCACAGCCAGCAGCGCGCAAGGGTTGTGGGGATCACCGAGCCGGAAGAGGGAGCCTGGCGGGCCCCCAGGCTGAACAGTCTGTGGCAAGGGACGAGGCTGCACTCCTGCACGCACCCCCGCCGGGTCGCTGCGCTGTCCACCTCCTTCCCACCGCGCTGCCCCCCACCTGCAAAAGGGGATCCAAGGAGCATCCGGAAAAGCCTCAGGAGGGGTGAAGGGCCGTACGACCACAGGAACCGAGACCCTGGGCGGCGCGGGTTCTGACCCTGGCCCTGCCTGGGTTAAAGGGGGCATTAGCCGCGCCTGCGTTTGGATGACCCCACTGCCATTGGCTGATAGTGTGACATGGGGCACATCACTTTATCCTCCATTTCTTCATTTGTAAAGACTATCACCCACTTCATGGCATACAGTTGTTTTCAGTAATGGTTCCTGTTGTGGTGTAGCCTTGAGCGAGACACTGCTCCTCTAAGCTTCAATTTCCTGGGCTGATCTCTCTGCCTCCATAAGATCTAACTAGTCAATCTCCCTTTACTGGTTTCTGTAGCACAAAATACCTCTTACGCATATCACAGAGATTTGTGTAATTCCAGAGGTTAAGAAATTGCAAGCTCCAAGAAGGAAGGAAAGAAATAGTTTTTGTATTGCTAGCACCTAGCACAGAGGTGGATGTTGGGTGGGTGCTCAATACATAAATATCTGTTGACTAAATAATGTACGTACTGCACGCAGATGAAAACAGAGCAACTCTTGGTACATTCCAGAGCCTCAGCCCCCTTTCCCACACCAATGATTTAATCGAATCGCTTATTTTACAGAAAAGGTCACTGAGGTCAATTTGGCCTAAGGTTGTGGCCACAGGTCAGAACGTTAGGCTCCTGACTTCAAGTTCAGATGAGAAAAGGGTTCCTAATTAATTGAAGGAAAAAAAACCCAAGTTGTTGTGATCATCAGGTTTAAATTTATGCAGTCTTTATTCTGCTTGCTATGCCAGTGCATTGCATGTGTTCTTGCTAGCTGCAATGTCAATTTTTAATCACATCTCGTATTATTGGGAACAGGATTGCATCAGTTGAGGCTGCTGGTTGCCATAACAATAGAAGTTTCTTTATACACACCAATACACACACCATCCGCTCATTTTTCTCTCTTCTCTACCCAGGCTGTGCTTGTTCTGGATTCCCAAGGGGTTATTTTAGGCATTTAGAAGATTAAAAGAAAGTAGTGAAACTTACACAAACATATGGCTTCTCAATCACGTGCATCTTTGAGACGGTGAAGACAAACAAGCAGAATCTGAGCTGGGGGACCCGGGAATGAACAATTAACACCGATTTGAGTTGCTGAGACATTCATTTTTGGCTCATTAACAGTTTGTTGGTGGTCTTCGTACCTTTGGTGGGCTTGGTTGCTTGAACACTGTTCAGTGATGGAGAGCCCCTCCCAAGTTGATGATGTTTGGGGAAGGTTCTGCCTCTTATATAGTCAGTGTGCTCCGCTGGTCCACCGTGCTCTCGGGAGCAAGTGAACAACTCCTTTCTTTTCTCAACTCACACTCCCTTCTCCAAGTTAGCCCCCTACTGAAGAATAGACCCCAACATTCTTGAAATGTTGATGAACAGGAGCACTGAGAAAACTGTTGTTGGTAAGCAGCCCACATCTTCCTGTTCCTATAGATTTTCACTGATTGGGGCAGTCCCTGTATTTTAAGAAAATCATTAGGATATGCCCTTCATGTAAGTGTGGAAACACTTCTGGTTCCAGCAACTTGGCAAACTTTGGTAATAGGGAGCACTTTCTAGCACAAACACCCCAAAATCCTGGATAAAATATTACAAGGAAGCAAGTAAGCCAGCCAAGAAGAAAGGCAAGTAAATTGAGTTTGCAAGGATAGGAAATCAGAAGTCAGAAACAGGGAAACAGAGCAAGGAGGGAATGGGCTGGTCTCCCTTGTCCTGGAGGTAGTTATAGGGTAGAGACAGGAACCAGCTGCTAGGGACTTGGGTCTCATCATGCACAGAATGATAGGAGATGGGATCTTGGGTCCATGTGACGCTGAGTTGGAACTGAACTGTCTACCCCCAGGCTATAAACTAGTGGGTCCCATAGTGGGAAGGGCAGGGGAGGCCCAAGTTCCCACCAAGTATGGTTAGCTTCAGGTCCTCGGCATGGGTGCATGTTATCCAGCACATCACAGACTGACATTTATATTTGGCTTTGGGAATGGAAGCTTATATTTGTAGCCACTAGAAAAATCTGTCTATTGAGGGCCAGAACCCCCAGCTATTTCCCTTACCCCCAACCTGCTAAATATCTGAACCATGTTCTCAACCTACTGTTAGGATTCATGTTTTATGATGATTCTAATGAAAAAATCAGTTGACCCAACTGTATTTGTTTTTCTATTGCGGCTGAATACACATTATTACAAGGTGACTGGCTTCAAACAAAAATTTAGTAGTTGTAGTTCTGGAGGTCAAAAGTCCAAAATGGGTCTAACTGGGTCTTCAAGGTGTCAGCAGAGATGCATTCCTTCCTGGAGGCTCTAGAATTTGTCTTTTTTATTTCTAGAGGCTGTATACCTTCCTTGGCTTGGCCCCTTTCTCCATCAGCACTGAACAGGTTTTTTTTCACGTCACATTCCTGTGACTCTGATTTCTGCCTTCTTTTTCTACTTTTTAAGGACCCTTGTGAATACATCAGGATCACCCAAATAATCCAGGATAATCTCCTTATTTTGAGGTCAGCTGATCAGCAAATTTAATTCCATCTGCAACCTTAATTCCCTCTTGCCATATAAAATAACACAGGTTCCAGGAATTAGCATGTGGACATCTTTGGGGGGCCATTATTCTGCCTACCACATAAAGTAACAGTCAAGTTCGTCAAGTAACTGATCCTCTTATAAAGTGCCAGGTCACGGTCACCTTCATAGTGTTGCTGTGACGTATATTCTTCTCATGGCCATGGCAGAGATGCCAAAGATCTAGCCCAATTGTGTAAGTGCTTCTTAAGCCTTTAGTTATGTCGTGCATTTCCTGTAGCTGCAGTAACAAACAACCACAAGTTTGGTGGCTTAAAACAACATAAATTTCTCTACCAGTTCTGTAGGTCAGAAGTCCATCCTGGGTCTCACTGGGCCAGGATCAAGGTGTGGGCAGTACTGTTACCTCCAAAGGCTCTCGGAGAGAACTGCTTTCTTGCCTCGTGGGCCCTTCCATCTTCAAAGCCATCTTCCAATATCTCTGTGCTTCCGTTTTTACACCTTTTTCTGACTTTAGACCTTCCAACGTCTCTACTTTTAAGGACCCTTGTGATTACATTGGGCCCACCAGAATGATCTCATTGCCAGACCTTAATCACATCTGCAAAATTCCCTTTTACCATGGAAGGGAACATTCACAGGTTTTAGGACATCTTTGGGAGAGGGGAAGACAATATGTAGCCTAACCAAATATATCATGCTTGTTAAAATTCCATGGTCAAAATCAAGGGACAGGAAGTACTCTGCTCATGGAGGGGAAATGGGGATATGTAGAAAAAAAATACATACATAGAAATATTTGTACATGTATATACGAGTATAAAATTTCTGACAGTAACCTAATCTACCACACATCCAGTAAGGCCTTTAATAAGTTTACTGAATGTGACTTTGGACCACAGTAGTTCAAGGTGTTATACTCTTTGAGGGCTTCCTGAAAACACCTATGAGCATTAATCATCTTATAATCGTAGCCACAGCTATCTGGACTCGAGTTACTGTGAGGTCTGCAGGGCAATGTCATCTGTAGCAAAGGTGGATGAAAGCTATCATTTAAGATGTCATTTGCTCATTCCAATTATAATGCTGTTGTCTACTTTAGAATCACATTGAAATTTAGCTTCTGAATTTCTTTCTTCCTCTACTCCTATTATCCAGAGCAAGATGACACACTGTTTTAAACCCTCTGAAGGTGCAGAAGGGAGTCTGCAGGGGTATTAAAGAAAGTTGCCTCACCCTTTTGCCAGAACTGGCCCAGAATTCAGCCGAGGAAGCATCTATTAGGACAGGTAGGTCTTGGGTCTACCGCTCTGCTCTGAGCAGGTAAGAGCAAACCGGGAGAGTTATACCCCACTTCCTAAGAGTAGGCACTCACAAATCAGAATACAGGAGGACAACTGAGATGGTTAGGGGATTCAAGACTGCTGCCCAGGGACAGGGTCAAGGGGATGTTCAGCCTGAAGACCTTCCCAAGAGCAGAAAGTAACATATCTGTGGCCTGAAGGAGAATCAGGCAAGTTTCCCTGGCTCTGTCTCCTTAAAAGGCCTATGAATAAGCTAGTAGATGAACACCCCAAGGGCCCAGACTGTGGCTGCTGAACACCATTTCCAAATAATGAGGGATCCTTAGAGAAGTGGCTTATTCCAGCTATCAGACTAAGATGAGCCTGGGACTCTTACCATATCAGAAAGCAGGGAAGATTGGGGCTATCTCCAAAGAACTCAGGAGGCAACTCGAGTTGACTTCCACTGACCCAAGATAGAACATATTCCTCTCATCTATGGAACCATTGCCTCCGATTCCTTTTAACCCTGGGCTAGGGGAATCCCTCTCCTGCTTTCAGCAGTAATGGAGTAGAATCTGATGCCATCAAGGCTCTCTCTTAGGCAGCTTTTTCGAAGTCCAAACTGATTGGCTCCCTCTGCTCCTACATACGAAGAGCCATGTAGACAACAAAATGCAGCCAATAATCCAGGACCACTGGGAAAAAATACAAAGGACATTGTAGGACAACTGATGACATAAATATGGGCTGCAGATTAGACAACAGTATATCAAAGCTAATTTCCTGGTTTTGACAGCTACTAGTTATATAAGAAAATGTTCCAGTTCCTAGGAAATACATATTTTGAGATAAAACAGCAAGATGTCTTACTTCTTTCCAGATGGCTCAGGAAAAAAACATGTAAATCAAACAAGATATAATTGGGGAAAAGGTAGTTTTTGTACTATACTTTCAAGTTTTTCATTTGAAATTTTATCAAAATAATTTAGTCTACTCAGTCTGAGTCTCTTATCCTAACTTCTTAAGTGCTTTTCACTGAGAAGTTATCTGAAATTGGCTGTTTTATAGGAACCCTCTGCTTATAAATCCTTCATACTAATACCATAATTTCCTTAGAAATGACAATTGTGTAAATATACAGATGTTAATAAAAACTTAATTACAAATAGCTAGTGTAAGCAATACTTAGTATCACTTGCCTTTATAAAATTCAGATGAGCTACAATAAAGCTACCCGGGAGAGGCGGCTGGTTAGCTTAGGTGGTTAGAGCGCAGGCTCATAACACCAAGGATGCCGGTTTGAGCCCCACATGGGCCACTGAGTTGCGCCCTCCACAACTAGACTAAAACAAACTACTTGACTTGGAGCTAATGGGTCCTGGAAAAACATACAGTTCCCCAATAAAAAAAAATTTTAAAAACTACCTGGGGAATGTGAATCTTTCTAGATTTGTATCTCTAGAGGGATGCATAAGGAACTAATAATCCTGGTTCCCTCCAAGGGGTCAAAGGTAGATTCTACTGTTACTGTTTAATATCTTCTGATTTCTGAACCATGATTCAAGTGTGAAAAGTTAATCGATTAAGTTTAATAAAGTATTATATTGGGGGCCATCTGTGGGGTTGCTATTAAGTTAGGCAATTCTAAACAAGCTATTTAAGATCTAGAATACCAATTATGCAACTGTATGAACTAATCCTTTTAACAAATGGAAGCATAGTGTTAGGGATACAAATATGCATCTTATTCAAGATACGGTTGCTGGGCCGGCCAAGTAGCTCAGTTGGTTAAGAGTTGGCTTAAGAGCGCGAGCTCTGAGCAGCAGGGCTGCCAGTTCGATTCCCACATGGGCCAGTGAAGCTGCGCCCAAGCTGAGCTGTCGCTGAGCTTGTTACACCAGCTGGCAGAATGGCTCAGCTGGTGTAACAAGATTGCCTGTTCGATGGTGGGCTACACCCACCCACAATGAAGACTGAACTTGGCACCTTGAGCTGAGCTACTGCCCAGATGGCTCAGAGTGTGCGCTCTTAACAAGGCTGCTGGGTTTGACTCCCACATGGGTTGGTGGCTATGCCCACCCACAAGTAAGACTGAACACAGCACCTTGAGCTTAGAGGCCACAAGCTGCCGACGGGAAGCCAGATGGTGACTGGCGCCCTCCACCACGAAGATTGAAGACAACTTGGCTGGTCCCCTTCCCCAATAAAATCTTAAAAAAAAAAAAAAAAAGATATGGTTGCTGCCTCAAAAAGCTAAAAAATTAGCGTAAATTGGTAATTAACTCTACTAGGTTGCTGACTATGTAAGAGCTCTAAAATAGTTTCATTGTATGAAATTGAATGCTAACAGTCATTTTTTCATTCCTTTTCATAAATTAAAGGATTACTGACTTGAAAATAGTTGGTACTGAAAAGTCATTATACATCCATTCCATAGTATACAAGTCAGTGCATTAAAACAGACCTATACATTACTATACATTAAGTAAAAACAAGTTGCAGAACACGACTCCGGTATGAGCAGCTTATTGAAAGGCATAAGCATTATGACCAAAAAAGTCTGGGCAGCTACACAGGTACCATTAACAGTGGATACCTTAGTAAGTAGGCTCTAAGGGAGAGATACTGCATAGTTCAAGTACACATTACTTTTGTAATTAAATCAGAACTTAAGAAAAAAAACATTCTACTGCCACAAGACTGAAAATTGATGAAATCACAAAACAATGCTTTCTGAATGCAAGGTAAATAAAAATGTGGAGCGGCCGAGTGGCACGCTGGTTGAGTTGGCTTGGGACGCCAGCTCTGAGCAGCAGGGCCCCGGTTCAGATCCCACATGAGGGTCAGTGACGCAGCGCCCTCTACAGCTACAATGGTGAACAACAGCTCAACCTGGCACTGGGCTGCTGTGAGTCGTTGGCTAAGGTGTAGACTGCAGCCCCTGCTGTAGTGGGTTGCAGTGAGCTACTGTGAATGGCTGGCTGCCAGCATGAGCCGCCGTCTCACTGGCTGGCGAGCCACTGCCTCACCCAAGAGCACAATGATAATACCAACATGGGCCGGTGAAGCAACGTCCAACACAACTAGACTGAAGAACAAAAGGACAGCAACTTGTCTATTCCTTCCCCAATAAAATCTTAAAAAAAAAAAAAAAAAAGTGATGGCTCCTAAGCATCAATTGCCAAGATTTAGAGTGCTCCAAGTCTAAAACTAAGGACTTGGGAAAAGATGATGAACTCTTCCTAGTTTATCTGAGAAATAACTGTCATGGGAAATGTTGAAACTGTTGTAATATAAAAATGAGTAAATTTTATGTAAAGCAAGATTAATACAATTTAGTATTTTTAATCCTTCACAATAGCTAGAAGATAGTATTTACAATGGTATTGTTCTAAGTACTTGTCACATATAAATCTTTTATCTTCACAACTCACAAGGGTTTATCCTACTTCAAGGATGACACTGAAAACACAAACAGTGCGAAGGACTATGTTGATCCCAGGCACCGGTTCTGAGAAACTGAAAAAACAAGATCCTTTTTCTCATATTCAAGTCAGGAATGGCAACTCCAATTCAAAAGACCACTTGCTGAGAATTTGGCACTAAGTGGGAATACACAAAAAATTCAAAACAAGCCTTTCCCTCAATAAGCATTTTATTAAGGAGATAAAACAAAATAGGTTAACAAAGTGGGAGAAAGATACCAAAATGAAAGATGGTAACACAGGAGCAGCAGACAGGACTAAAAATGGCCAGAGGCACTATGGTGTGTCAATAAACAGTCAGGTAAAAGGGGCATCAAGATGTTGCTCGCTTCCATTTAATTGCTATCAGCTTAATACTCCATCTAGTCACAGATCAACACGGCATGATGGACTGGAGGATTCAAGTAACAAATTAGCAAGGAACTGAACAGTTTATCAGTCAACTCTGTTCTCAAGTGGGCTGCTATAGTGGTTTAGCATGTCTAATGACGCAGGCTCACAGGTATGGAGTAAGACTATTTTTACTAGGTTGGTCTTTGCGATTACTGGAAATTTTTTATGGGAGCAGGAACTTACCTAACCCACTATGAGACCAGCTAACAACATAGACAAGCCTGCCTATTACACCACGTGATGTCCTAACAGAAGATGTTGCATACTTTAGGAGTCAAATTTCATACTGCAACATCCTCTCCCCTTCTTTTAAATGCTTTTCTTTCCCTGAAAACAAGAATTTGGTCAAAGTCAAGTCTTTGTCTTAGAAACCAAATTATGAAAGGCAGTGAAGGCTTGCAACTCATTGTCATTAACTTCTGTCCTTTCAAATGGCATTTTCTTCTCTGAAATTTGTATCGGGAAAACCCCCCCTTCCTATAAACAACTTAAAAAAAAGTTATTCAAGAAAATAAGGTCATGGAAGGAACATCAACTCTTTGGGGCACTATCATAAGGGTCTAAGATTTTGTAACATAAGATAAGGGTCTAAGATTTTGTAACAAAAGCCCTGGGATTTTAGTCTTTTTACTTATTACCAAGTACTCCCAGTTACTCTGATACCTAGATATTTGATTCAGTTTTTTCCACAACCTTTTTATTGGTATGCCTTCCAGATTCAACGAACCTACACACCAGCTGTATATTATGCTTTCTAGTCCCTAACTGGCACAATCAGCAGTATACCACCATACCCTAGCACAACCCAACCCTTGATACCTTACATAGTGAGAGCTCCTAGAAAACAGAGGTTAATGAATACTTATTTTAAAGTATCTGAACAAAGAGGAATATAAGGTTGCAATTTCAATTAGGCTTATGGATGTATAGACTAATTGGTAACCTGGTAACTCCCACAAATTCGCAGTGTTATAATTTGGTCTCCCCATAGTATTCATTATACTTCACGTTCTCGATAAAGTACGAAAAACTTAGGGTTTACCCATTTACTGTTTTTCAAACCATCCACATGTAAAATTTACAAAGATGACCTAAGCAATTATCACATAACCCTAACTGCAAAGGCGACTGTTGAATGAAATTTTACTTTAACCTGCAACTGATTATACCAAGTGATCTGTTAAATATTATCTTTCAACAGAAAATGCAATATTTGGTTTTGTACTTTGAACAAAACTATGCTAACTTGCTGATCAAAGACTGCTTTTGTTTTTATATGACAAACATTAAAGACCGTGGACTCGTACTCTAACAAATTAAATACTAATTATATTGACCACTTCCAGAAAGTGGGGTTACCAGGCTAAATTAGATACCAAGTGTTAGGTGTTATTTCCTGAAGAGTTCAAATTTAAGTTTGAAAGAAGTTTCATTATTTAAAATCTATTAATTTAGGCAAAATTGTGTAACAGATTGACTACAAAATATCTTTTATTTTTAACTTAACTTGTTAAAGAAGAATATACAATGACTTTGGCAAATTTGATTCACAGCACAAAATAATGTTATCCAAATTGAATAATTTATTGCTGGTCTGAGGCGTGGCTTGTTTTATACTTAAGAATTTACATTGTTTCAACAAACAGCAGATATCAACATTTAAAGGAATAGCGACCTATTCAATAAGGCAATCATTTTGGTAGCAAACTTTTATTGAAATCTTACATTAACTCAAGCTTTATAAAAAGCCAACATAATTGAAAAATGGGTTCTCCCTCTAAAGCCTCATGTATCCAAAGCTTGAAACGGTTAATTTAAAAGCAAACAAATAAAACAAAATCCCTGCAGCAGATCCTGCTGAAATACTTAAAAAAAAAAAAAAAATCTAAATGAGCTTAATCTTTACAAAAGTTATTTTAGCTCAAAAGCTATAAAATCAAAGTTATCTTAATTCTACAAAGAAGGGAGAAGGTCTTCATGCCACCATTTCTTTAGAACCTCATCTTTTTCATCAAATTTGGCCACAAATCAAATTTCTGTGTGCCCTTGTTTTCAGGAGATTCCTCTTGCAGAAGAGGCCAAGTACAAACATGGAAGAGTAACTGCCTAAGCAAGTAGGAAAGTGTTCTGTAATAGTGTGCAAAGAACGTAGAGTTCTGGGTTAATCTCTGGAGCTCGATCTGGACCGTGACCTTGACTTTGAATGGGATCTAGAACGGGATCTTGAAGCTCTTTTTGGTGGAGGGGACACAGAATGAGCCTTTGAGGGTGGAGCAGGTAGGGGAGACTTGGAACGAGACTGGCTCCTCGATCTAGACTTTGACTTTATATCACCTTTTCCATTTTCTTTGGGGGAACGAGATCGAGAACGAGACCTGCTTTGAGATTTCTCATACTCATCCTTAGATCTGCTTCGAGAGCGTGAACGGGAGCCCCGATCAGACTTGGGCTTAGATTTGCTCTTGGATCTAGATTTCCTGCCTTTTGACCGAGAACGTGATCGACCTTTGCTCCGAGACCTAGATCTGAACAAGAAAAGCCAGATTAAAAAAAAAATACTTTGCCAGAACACACAAGTACTCCACAAACAAGTACAGTGACAGTCAGAAAAAGACCAAACATTATTTACCGGGAGCGACTTTTTGAGATACTTCGTGATCTACTGCGGCTGCTCCTGCGACTCCTACTTCGTGACCTTCTTCTAGACCGTGACCTATAAGAACAATGATTAAAATCTTAATCTCAACATACCTCAACACAAATGTCTGTCACTTATGAAAAACAGACAAACTGACCAAAAAATGCAGCTGCTTCCTATAAATTAAATCCAGTCAAAACATTTGAAAAAGAATCTAATGATGCATAACCAAGAAGAACTAAGAACTGCCCTAATTTTAATTAAGTATCAACTGAAATACTGCTGTTTGAATTTTTCTTTGTTCTTGGCAAATACTGTTTTCTCCCTTCCCATTTCCCTTTTTTTACCTTGATCTGCTTCCAGAGTAAGACCGTCTATGGCTTGTTCGTGCTTTATCTTCAATGAGCCTAATATTTCGGCCATTTATTTCTGTACCATCCAGTTTATCCAAAGCACGCTTCATGTCTGAGTAGGAGCGAAACTCAATTACGCCTTCGTTTGTGCGTTCTTTGTGAGCATCCGCATAGGTGACTTCACCTGCTTGTCTCATGAAATCCTAGAAGAGCAACAAGACAGGTCAGACCCAATTCTAAAGATCTATGTCTGTACCTGACTCTCAGAAATAAAATAAAACAAGAGCCTACCTTTCAAACATTAGCATCATTTTTATATTGAATTATAGCACATACCTTTAAATCCTGCCAACTGCAACGACTAGAAAGATTTTCTACAATAAGTCTGAATTCTGTACGAACAGGTGGTCCATATTTGTCTCTGCCAGAAGTTCTCCGACTGCTGTATCCACCTCCACTACCTTTATCACATGAAGGGAACAATCAAATGTGTTGCAATGATAGGGATGCATAATGTTTTTGAAAGTTAGTACAAACATATCAACTTTTATTTACTGGAGTAGGACTTTGCTATTATATTGCTAAACCTGTGATACAATTGTGATTTGCCACAAATTAAATTAAGGGCAAGCCAAATAGACTAAATCCAACTAAACTTCTCCTACAATCTGTTAGAAAGTGACTGCTCCTTTATTCAATTTACCTCGCTAAGTTTTATTTTACAGAACATTGTAAAATATAAAACTTAACTGATTACATGCATTTCTACATTTTACAAAAATGTTTACTAGTTACACTAAGTACTTACATCACAGTGTGAGGTTTTTGGTGGTGGTTTGGCCACAAAACACGCAAGGTAACAGTCACCTAGTTCAGATTAACCAGTTTTGTCTAACCCTTGGAATCCTCACCATCACCCTGCGTCTAATGGCAAAAGGCTGCTGTCGTCATGGCTTCCGGTAAGGTCAGCCAAAGGGTCATAGGGCAAGGGTCACACAATGTATGGAAAAGCCAAGGCCAATCAGGAAAGGCAGTCATCTTAGCCTCAGTGGACACAGCCTCAGCCCCATTGGTCACTTTCAAATTGAAACATCAAGGACTTGTTAAAAAGTTTGAATTCAACATGCAACAATTTCAACATCAAACATTTAACATAACCAACCCCCCCCACCTCCTCCCAACAACATGCCCCCGCCCCCCCAGCTCAAATATAGCATAAAGCTTGTCTAGATCTACTTGTGGTAAATACCACATTACTTGAAAATAGTATTTTCTTTGGCCCCCGCCAATTTTAATAACTCTTAAGGCCTAAACTTAAAGCTCCTCCCCTTTCCCCGTCCCCAGCTCACCTCCATCCCAACCTGTCCCCAAACTTCTACGCTGTCATTCCCATTTCTAGCTAATGCACTGACAGGTAAGCAAGGGGGATACAACAATACAGCCATCCCTCACTTCCTCCGTGGGTGGAGCCCACGACAGTGCTGACAGGGGCACAGCACAAGCAACCCCCACCCCCCCAAAACACCCAAACCCTGGCTAGGTAAAACCCACAACCCAAACCCCGCGCTCCGGCGTCCCGTGGTTGCACCGGGCAGGCGTGAAGGCAGCGGGGCCCCGGGACACCCCAATTAAACGACCCCGCCCACCCCGCCTGCCCGGGCTGGGAGGCCCCACCCTGCCCCCTCTAGGCCTGCGCCTTCCCACCCCACCCCGTCCCAAGAACACGGAGCGCGCGGGGGGTGGGACTCACTGCGGCTTCCGTAACTGTAGCCGTCACGATCGCGGCGCGGGCCCCGGGCGTGCTCCACAATCACGCGCTCGCCGCAGAGGTCCTTGCCGTTCAGCTCGTAAACGGCGTCGTCGGCGTCGCGGGAGTCCTCGAACTCCACGAAGCCGTACCTGGAAGGCGGTGCGAAGGCCGAGGACAGGCGGGGCATCGTTAGGCCGGGGACGCGCACGCACGCGCGGCCACCTCCTCCCCGCGCGCACCCGCGGCCCCGCGCCGCCGCCATTTTGGGGGCCCTGCCACGCGGCGCAGCGGCCTTGGCAGCTCTTCCGTTTTGAAGGGTCCCGCTGCCGCTAGACCCGAAGCAGTGAGGGCGGACGCGGGGGGTCCGACTCACCCATTTTTGAGGTCTATTTCGAGGAGGCGGCCATAGCCACTGAAAAAGCGCTGGATGTCCTTCTCCCGGACGTGGTAGCTAAGGCGTCCTATGTAGACGCGCGGCATGTCCGTGGCGGGCGGTGGGCCCGAGGGCTGGCTGTCTTAACAGCGGACCGCAAGGCAGAAGCCCCGGTGCGGGTGCGGGGACGGCAAGAACACGAACACGCGCCTCGCACAGCAGCGGCGGCCAAGTCCAGCCACACAATGGTGTGCGCGCGCGCCTGGGTTACGCTATAAGGGCGGGCGGCCGGGGGCGTGGCCCGGCGTGTGACGTCACCACGCAGCAGTACCCTCCCGCGCTGTAGCCTTGGGCTCGAGGGTGATTGGCGCGTCCGCCGCCCGCGAAGTTTCGAGGATGTGCGGTTCTATTCCCTCACAGGATTTTCTCCACCCATCTTTGTAAGCATCGTCCAGACGAGGACTTATTTTCTAATTTGCACCTCCTAAAAATCTGTTCGTCTGCGTTATTTCTCCAGGACTGGCGCTAAGGAGGCCGGCTAGTAGAATCCCCGTATGTCATTGGCTCTCGAGGATGTCATAATAGGCCTCTGTGATCTCTGATTGGCTCCTTAAAACGAGGCTCCGCATTTCCCCCACGGATCGGCTCTCGCTCTCCTGGGTGAGGAGGAATGTGCACTCTGACACAGTTGATTTAGCCTGTTTCACAGAACCCGAGGTTGGACTCCTGAGGTCGTGGTGGCCTGGCTGGGATCGCGTTGCCAGCCCACAGACCTTTTGGCGTGTATCTCTCGTGGTCTTGTTCACAGCCATCATCAGCCTTCACCACTTCACTGCACGTCCCCCTCTCCCTTTGTGCGTGTTTCTTGGAGCACTAGCAGCTGGAGTCACCTGTAGATTGCTTTGTGCATGGCAATCCCACACTCGCCGAAGGTGTTCACAGAGGGAGCACGGCCAAGGCCTCTGGCCCAGGAAAGTTGAGCAAGACCTGGCAGCCCTCCTGCAGAAGTGCGCTCTTTTTCGCTCCCATATGAAGAGTCTCTTTGCCCGAACGCCATACCTCCCTCTCTTGTTTTGGAAGGCACCATGTTTATGTGGCAGAAATATATGTTTTTGAGCTCATCACTAGAGATGCCACTTAAAGCAGGAGAACTTTGATGAAAACACCAACAGAGTCATAGTAAGTGGGGAGCAGAAGACGGTGGAGTACTCTGAAAGTGCAGGAAAGGAGGGGTGGGGGTAAAACCGGAGGAGCTTGGTGTCACAGAGGCTGAGATAATACTGGCTGTTTAGGTATTTCCGTATATTCCAGCTCTTCTTGAGCAGTGCAATCTTGGTATTCTTCAGCTTCTGGTTGTTAGCAAAGTCTGGAGGGAAGTTGGTTGTCAGGACTGAGCGAGGGCGAGTGTTAATACTGGCATCTAGTGGTAGAGACTACACACTGTTAAAAATTAAATACAATACATAGGTGTATCTTTTTTAAAAAGTTCATGGAATATAGTAGTTAGGGAAAGGAGACTTCAATGTGATAATATTTTTTTCTCTCACTCATCAAATTGTCAACGCTTTAAAATTTGTTAAAATTCATTATTGACTAGAGGTGAACCAGAAAATGGCACTCATGTAGTGTTGGTGGGACTGAACATTCATTTTGGAAAGGTAATAGGGTAGTACTTATTAAAAAATGCATACCCGCAGTGAGGTGTTGCGTCCTCCCTTTTTGCAGTTCATTTACCCAAAGAGAAAGATGCAACTGACATCATCCTGTCCTCTGCTTCCTCTCACCTCTCTTTTCCCAGAGCACAGTGGCTCCTCTTAAAAAGCCCAAATAGCACTGGCTACAGAAGAGGAAACCGGCTCAAATACTATCATTGAAGGGAATGTTGGGCCATCAGCATTTTGTGGAGTCTTGCTGATGATCTAACTCACCTGTGTTGATATTTTGGAAGAGCGACTCAAAAGAGAAATGAGGGATGTACAGCATGAGAGCACATTTCTCTGGACACCTGGATAAAGATCACTCCGCTTCTCATTCTAAAATTGTGGTGGTGACTGCAGGAGTCTTATCAGCAAGAGAGGGAGAGTCACCTCAATCTGATCCAGAAGAGAGTTAATAACTTCGAATCCGTAATTACCTGGATTGTAAAGGACAGTGTAGAGCACACAATTGTTGTGGTTTTCAATCCAATGGATATTCTTACATATGCTAGCTGGAAACCAAAAGAATTTCCCAAGCACCATGTGATTCAAAGTGGGTGTAAACTGGATTCTGATAGGTTTTGCTGTCTTACATCTGAAAAGTGTACATTCCAGAAGCTGTCTCATCTTGAATGGATTTTGGGAGAACATGGTTTCTGCTGAAAGTCACCTTATCACTCCTCTAAGCACTCATTTTTCCCAGCTTTACTGAGGTGTTATTAACACACAACATCTATAAGTTTAAGGTGTACAATATGATGATATTGTAACATATATGTTGCAAAATAATTACAATAAGGCTAGTTAATACCTCCATCCCTCACATAATAACTTTTTTTTGGTGGTAATAACATTTAAGACCTATTCTAACAACTTTCAGGTACATAATACAATATTGTTAATTATATTCACCATGCTGTGAACTTATAACTGAACTTACTCATAACTGCAAGTTTGTATCCTTTGACCAACATTTCCCAATTTCCCTCATCCCTGAACCCTTGGCAACCACTCATTCTACACTCTTAATTTCTATGAGTTTGGTATTTTAGATTCCGCATATAAGTGAGAGCATACAGTATTTGTCTTTTCTGTCTGACTTATTTCACTTAGCATAATGTCCTCAAGGTCCATCCATGCTGTCGTAAAGGGCAGGGTTTTCTTTTTTATGGCTGAGTAATATCCCATTGTATGTGCACATCACATTTAAAAACAATCCGTTCATCCATTGATGGACACTTAGGTTGTTTCCATGTCTTAACTATTGTGAATGCTGCTGCAATGAACATTGGAGTGCAGATATTTCTTCGAGGTAGTGATTTCATCTCCTTCAGATATATACCCAGGAGTGGAATTGCTGGATCATAAGGTAGTTCAATTTTTAATTTCTTTTTCTTTTTTTTTTTTTAAAGCTGAGCCATCCTGCCACCTGTTGGCAGCTCAGCAGCAGCTCAGCTTGGGCCCATGTGGGAATTGAACTGGCAACCTGTTGCGCAAAGCTCGCACTCTTGAGTGAGCTAGCTCTTAATCAACTGAGCCACTCGGCCGGCCCAATTTTTATTTTCTTAAGGAACCTCCATACTGTTTTCCATAGTGGCTCCACCAATTTACATTCCCACCAGCAGCGCACAAGGGCTCCCTTTTCTCCACAGCCTCACCAGCACTTCTCATATCTTGTCTTTTTTTTAAAGATTTTATTGGGGAGTTGGGGAACAGCCAAGTTGTTGTCCTTCAGTCTTAGTTGTGGAGGGCGCAGCTAGCTCAGCTCCAAGTTCAGTCACCATCTGGCCACCCATCGGCAGCTCGCGGCTGCTCAGCTCAAGGTGCTGGGCTCCATCTTAGTTGCGTGTGAGCATAGCCCACCATCCCATGCGGGAGTGGAACAGGCAACCTCGTTGTTAGGAGCGCGTGCTCTCACCAGCTGAGCCATCCTGCCACCTGTTGGCAGCTCAGCAGCAGCTCAGCTCGGGTCCATCGTCACTGGCCCATGTGGGAATCAAATGGGCGACCCTGTTGCTCAGAGCTCACGCTCTTAACCAACTGAACCACTTGGCCGGCCCTTGTCTTTTTTGATAATAGCCATTCTAACAGGTGTAAGGTGATGCTGTAACCACTGATTTTAAAATAAGCACCCTCCCTGCACTCTATATCTTCTTACCCTATTTTATTTTTCTTTATAGAATGTTCATCACCTGGCATTTATTTACTGTCTTCCACCGCCCTCACTATAAGCTTCATTAGAGCAGGGATTCCCTCTGGCTCCTCTTCACTGTTATATCTTCAGCACTTAGGAAAGTGCCAGGCATGCAGTAAGTGCTCAGTGAGAGTTGCACCATTCTGGTAATTGTTCAGAGCCTGTGAAGTGAGGATCTCCATTCTGCAGGCATCAGTGTGCTGAAGGGCTGTGTGCTGGTGGGATGGAATCTTCTGCCCCCTGGTTCGTGCCCACCCACTCCTGCTGCCCAGACACACACACCCCCTCACAGGGCTCAGAGAGGTGCAGCAATGCTCCCTGTAGATTCCACATTTCCTCCACCAAACTTATCTCTTGTCCATGGGAGTATAAATTGGTAGTCACGTTGGAAAGCGAAGAACTGTCACTTCAGTGTCTACTAAAGCCGTTTACTAAAAATGAAGCCACCATGGGTCTACCCCCATGACCTAGCGATTCCACACCTAACAGCAATGTGTGCATACACTCTCCATAAGGAATGTACTAGAAATTCATAGCAGCATTATGTGTAGTCGCTCCCACACTGGAAACCACTCAGATGCATATCCACAGGAGAATGGACAAATCAACTGTGGTTTATTCACATTGCACACTGCTACATAGCAATGAGAAAACCATACCGATCCGCTGCAAAATCAGTGTCTCTCACGGATATAATCGTCTAAGCAAGACACAAAGAAGTCCCTATTGTACGATTCCATGTATGCAAAACTGAAAAGCAAAACAAATCTATGGTGTGAGAAGTCAGGGTAGGGGGCAGGGAATGACTAGAAAGGGGACCTCTGGGGTTCTGGTCATATTTTGTTTCTTGAGCAATGCTGATTGCACACGTGTGCCCTGTCTGTGAAAATTTATTGAGCTGCACATTTATAATTTATGCACTTCGCTGTATGGATGTTGTATTTCGATGGAAAAAAGTTTTAAAAAGGATAACAACAAAAAAAAGAGAATCTTTCAAAAAATTATTGCTTACTTGATCTTGAGCCCTCTGGCCGGTGCTGGGAACTAAAACTCTACTGAGGACTTGATTCAGAGTTTTTGCTCATGAATGTTAATTTGTCTGAATCAATTACTTGTTTATGGGTGTTTGTTTGTTTGTTTCCAATTAGGTTTTCGTTCACTGAGAATTGCTTCTTGGTGTGGAAGATGTAGCTTTGTCGCCACCTGGTGACTATCCGTGTGATTACAGTGGTAGATACATGGGTTTCCTCATCCATGTATCAATGAAACTCCGAGATAGAAGACCTCTGAATGTCCGGGAATCCCAAATCTTCGAATTGCCAAACCCTTCTTCACTCAGAGGTTTTCTGGCCCTTACTTGAACACCTCCCTGATGGAGAGTTCTCTGCCTAACCAGACAGCCACGTCTATTCTTGGACATCTCTCACTGTGAGTAAATTCTTTATAGAAGGTAAAAAATTACTACCTTGAATTGTGTACCAACTGCTCCTGGCTGTGCCTCTGAAGCTGTTCAGCTAACTACATCCGTTTCCCACAAATGGGTCTTCCCGATGTCTGGGGGCAGTACTCAGACCCTCTGTTCATGTCCTCTCCTCTTGCTAAATGCCCATAGTCCCCCAAACATCCCTCCTGGGGCCTGCTTTCAAGTCCACCACTGCTGGAGGGTGGAGGCTTTGGAATTCTCCAACTTTCCACCTTTGTAGCGGTGCGCCAACTCATCTCATGCTTCTGAGCCTCATCCGTCATCTCTGAAGCAGGTGTAATAACAGGATGAGCCTCACAGAGTTGAAGTAACCAAGATGGTACATCTTTGGTGCCTGGTGTGGTGTCGGCACACTTTTTCTGTAGAGGGCCAGGCCGTGAATACTTTGACTTCGTGGGCCGATGAGCTCTGTTGCACCTACTCAGATCTGCCTTAGTGGCGCTCAAGCCCCCGAGCCTATATGCAAATATTATAAAAATAGGTACTGACCGCTGGGGGAGAGAATGGGCTGAATGGGAAGTATTTCATTTCTTCCTCTTAGAGGGAAGAAACGTTTCTTACTTATCTTTGGGCTCAGCACAGGGCCAGGCACATAGTAGGTGCTCAGGAAATGTTTACCAAAGGAGGAGAAACAATATATGACATAGGGAAGAGATGACCTTTAGGGCCAAACAGACCTGGGTCCAAATTGACTTATTCTCTCTGTGACTTGTGTTAAAGAAAAACTTATTCATGCTGCTTGTTAAAGAAATGACCAGGCAGACTTTGTTCAGGGGACTATTGAGATCAATGTAAGGACTACTGCAGTGCGGAGGGGAGAGAGTTTTTACAGTAGGGGAGAGAGAGTGAGCTGAACTTCAAATACAATAAGGAAAAAAGCAGGGTGGGGCGGGATGTCCGTGGATGGAAAATTGGACACCACCTGGAAGATGGTAGAGGCTGAGGAACACGAGCAGATATTGAGGGTGGGGTCTTCTGGCTAAAGCAACTCAGCAAGATTCTTGCTAAAATTGTGTGTATTAGCAGAGACAGACACAGAAGTCCCAAAGGCAGGGCCTCGTTGGGAAGAGAGTTCAGAGAAGCCTGACTACAGTTTGGTCAAGGAGAGACTCTGTCACCTAAGCTAAGACCCTTCCCCCCTCAGCACCTCTTTGCCTGTAAAATGGGCGTCATAGCAATACCTAGTGCATAAGGTTGTTGCAAGGATTAATGGAGATCATAGAAAAGAGTGTGGATGCTGAAAAAACATTTTCTAAGAAGAAAGCATGAAAGTAGTTTCATCTTCCATGATTTTTAACCCTATGGCCTTCAACCCTTAGTCCCACCAGATCCAGGGCCATTTCTTGTCCCCTCCAGTCTGCACAAAGAGACTTCGCTGGCTGTCTTGGGCTCTGGGAGTGGGTAGGGGATGGCACCAGGAAGAGGAGTGGTTGTGAAGGGGGTGAGGGGAGAGTCATGCTTCCTGCTCTGAATTCAGGGCCAGGCTGGCAGTAACTGCAGACAATCAGTTTTTGCCCCAAGGGCTCAGTGTTGGCTATAAAGAATTAATAGCCAGGAAAGCTGTCTGCCAATGATTTCTCAGCTCAAGGTGCAGGCATTACAGAAACACAGCCGAATCCATTTCAGATCCTGGCCTCCCAGCACTGGCTGACAATTGCTCCCCATCGAGTTTCTTCCCAGGAGAGTACTGGAGTCAGGGGTCGCTCCTTCCCGAGCATGCTCAGACTTCCAAGTGTGTGCGCAACGTTCTCTGTGTCCCCAGAGAAAAGAATAAGGGAAGGACACACGTGTCTCTCGAATTTGGTTGCCCTAGAAGCAGGCCCTGAGACAAGGGTTCAAGTGCATGAAGTTTATTCGGGTGATCCTAGGAGACACCAGTGGGAGGCTGGGGAAATGAGATGGAGAAGAGAGAGAGCTTGGAGGTGTATTATCAAGCCAGTTTGTACACTGTGGGCGATGGAGCTTAATCTCACCTGGGGCTCTGGGAAATGGTATAACCCAGATGCCTCAAAATTACCCCATCCGAGGGTGAGGGAACTGGGGTATTTATTATATACACCGGATCCTGTGGCTCATTGGTTGAGGGTTGCTCTCGAGGTGTTAATTACCTGGCAGGTCCAGCCTGTGTCACTCGGTGGCCAAGATGGTCTTCAGGTAGGAAGTGGCAGGTGCTGACAGCTGGCCTGCCCTGAAAGCGGGAAGGCCTTAGGGGTCCGAGCCAGGTACCCTCTCAGTCTACTACAGCATGGATGGGTTCAGGCCCTACTCTGGCTCAGGCACTTCACCGCTGCGATCTTACTTAGCTTCTGCATGTGTCCAAGGCTGGATGGTAGTTAACCTTGTCTCCCCAGAGCTACTTCTCAGCACTGGAACTAGGGTGAGGTGGGTAAACTCCCGGGCCAAGCGCAACATTTCATGGGGCACCCAAAACCAGAGCAGCCAAATCATATTTTAATGCAATAGTTGAAAAAAAAGAGACGTGAATGCAAAAAAAAAAAAAAATCCATGATGAACAAAAGAGCAGAATTTTAAATCAAGACAGGATCAGTAACTGTGCTAAGCTGAGCCATATTGAACCCCGAGGCAAAAGGAAAAAATCAGTAATACTGATTTGTTCCTCGTGGATTTGTTTTTGGCATTCATTTTTATTTAAAAAAATATTATTGCGTAGATGAAATATTCTCTATCTTGATTACTGAGTTTTTGGGTAGACACATGTATTTGTGCTTCCCTTGTCTCATCCTAGTCCCGGCCCTTGTCATCCGTCACCCATTTTCTCCCACCTTGGTATATTGTATTCAGTCTACTCAGCAGCTCAAGCCAAAAATCTGGGGTCTCCTGTGGCTCCTGTCTTCCCTCACCATCCCCAGATGGACCATTACTGATTTTCAGCCCCGCCTCCAAACATGTCTCAAATCTGTCCTCTTTCTGCCATCTCCAGGCAATGTCTGTCTCCTATTCACATTCTCTCCAGGCCTCTCACTTCCTCGTTTCCACCTCCAGGCTGGGAAGAGGTCACCTTCTTGTCTAGAGGGGCGGGCACTTTCCTGACCTCGTTTCCTGAGTCCCATCTCATGACTGTTTATAATAAACTTCAGACTCAAACAGACCCCCAAGCTGTACCCTTGATGTGTAAAGGGAAGGTTCTGGAATCAAGACATTACCGTTTTGTTTTTCCGTCCCAAGAGGGACTGTGGTCTCTAGATCGACTCAAAGCCAAACTGTGAGCTCTTTGTTGCAGGTGATGTCTGCATTCCTCTTAAGGTAATATATGTCATTGACTCAAAGGTGGGGAGGGTGGTGGGTGAAGAGACCCAGAGCATCATGCCTCCTGGGGATGCAAAATAGATAGTTGATTGTTTGATAGTTTCAAAAACATTCTCCCCTTTATGCAGTCAGATGGGTCCCCAAGTTCCCAATACCTTTGCGCATATCCTTGACATTCACTATTTCTGGAGAGTTCCGGCAAGTGCTCCTGTTTAGCATTACCTCCCCACATCAGGGCCAATTTATCTTGGGCTCCATGGCCCCTCTGCTCACTTGTTTGAGTCCTGAGTGGCTAAAGAAGCTCTGAGTCACTGATGGTGACATCTACCGTTTGGCTGGGCATTTCAGGGAGGCAGGGAGAGACCTGGATCGCAGTCCTGGACCTGTCTGGGTCAGAAGTCCTTCAGGAGAGATAGTACCCCCACGTGGGTTGTTGGCAGGATTAAGCAAGATAATGGGTATGTATGAAGCCTCACATAGCAGCAGGCACAGACTCCGTGCCCAGTTGGCGTCTCTTTCC